GTCAATTTTCCACTTCCCCTCATCGAGCTCATTCCGTAGATACCCATATGGCATGGGTTTAAATGAATATTCCCTGTCCGGGGCGGCCATATTGGATTTTGGTCCACCATATTGGATTCCAAAATGGCGGCGGATGTCAATTTTCTACTTCCACTCATCGAGCTCATTTCACAGATATCCATATTGCATTGGTTTAAATGCATATTCCTAGTCCGGGGGCCGCCGTATTGGATTTTCGTCCGCCCTATTGGATTCCAAAATGGCGGCGGATGTCAATTTTTCACTTCCACTCATCGAGCCCATTTCACAGATACCCATATTGCATGGGTTTAAATGCATATTCCTAGTCTGGAGGCCGCCATATTGGAGTTTGTTCCGCCATATTGGATTTTGGTCTGCCATATTGGATTCCAAAATGGCGGCGGATGTCAATTTTCCACTTCCCCTCATCGAGCCCATTCCGTAGATACCCATATTGCATGGGTTTAAATGAATATTCCCTGTCCGGGGCGGCCATATTGGATTTTGGTCCGCCATCTTGAATTCCAAAATGGCGGTGGATGTCAATTTTTCGCTTCCCCTCATCGAGCCCATTCCGTAGATACCCATATTGCATGGGTTTAGATGAATATTCCCTGTCCGGGGCGGTCACATTGGATTTTGTTCCGCCATCTTGAATTCCAAAATGGCGGTGGATGTCAGATTTTTACTTTGACTGTAATTCCAATCTATTGATTTTCCGTTTGGTTTTTGTGACCGCAAAATCAGCTAAGGTTAAAATCAGCCTTGATTTTCTGCTGCGTGATTTTGCTACTCTCAAGATCAGCTAAGATAAAATCCGCCGTGATTTTCTGTTTGTGATTTTGCTGATCTCAAGATCAGCAGTGATTTTCGACCGTTCCTGATTTTGGATTTTCTTGATTTTTTCCATCACTGCTACCCAGAGTTGTGAAATAATCGATGTTAAAAGCGGAGATGAGAGGGTCAGTCAGATGTTATACGTTTCTTTACGATTAACTTTTGAAATAATAAACATGTTGCTCCCGGAAATACAAAAACAAACAAACAAACTTGACGCATTTGCTGACTGATAGTGGTTGCTTTGTTTTTTTCACATACGACGCTTCACTGTGAGCGTATCTGCAGTTTTTGTGTTATCATCAAATTTTAACAGTTAAGTCATGTTGACAATAAAAGGGTGTATCAACACCATTTTAAAAACAATGAAAGAAGGTCACATAGGGCGTTCATTAAATATATTTTCCATAATGCATTACAATTTCAAACCTTGTTCTTCATTAACTCGTAGGAAAAGCATGTATTTTAAATTCGGTTAGATGTAAAATATCGATTTGTTTATTTTTACGACTTACGTCCTTTTGAAAAGTTATGCTTGAAATGATCGTAAACACGCAGCATTAAATTGTCATGGGATATGTTTGATAACGATCAGTAATGAGAATTTCTGCTATTTTTTGTTAAGATAATTTGACAAAATGTTGGCTTCGGCAAGGTATTATAACCTAAATATTATCGTCAGGGGGTAAACAACATCCTTGAGAGCTCAATTTTGGCATGTATCCACATTGTGGTTCAGAGCATCTATTGGCCACATTTGAGTGCTCTAGGACTTTGTCTACCCCCTGACGATAATAGGTTAAGGTAGTGCCGAGGCCGACATTTCCCCTAGGTAATGATTAACTACAGCCGTTATTTTTTTTCCTCTCTAGAAGTCATTTGAAGTTGATGTTGAAGTTATCTGTTGCTAAGTGAAAAGAAAAGGAATCTTTCGAAAACCGTAATGCGAGTTCAACTGTTTTTCTCGTGACGTGAATCATTATACACCGACCAGGAGACTGGCAACCCCATATCAATCCTATACGTAGTAGGCAACATCACGGGCCTTATTTAAATACGGCCCGCTTGACGTATACATGGTAGAAAGGGACGGAAAATAGCGTCATAAGTAGAAAGACAAGAGCAGATGATAGCAACAAAAACATGGCCGCCAGTCAGGCCCCTGACACCGACTCTAGTCTAATCATAACCTGGGACGGGACTTGACAATCGGGTTGCGATTTCGAGCCAATTTGCTGTCAAATCCGAGCCAGCATCTGATTGGTCGATTTGACAGCAGCAATCGTGGAATAAAAAGGACAGAGGGATCGCATCAATCTGGCTGGCAGTGATGCCGGAATCAATGTTGTCGTCAATGGTGTTGTTAATTGTTTATATTTGCGAAAGGAAAGTTGAAAAATTTAGTGCACTGCGTGTTTTAAGCGATGAATATTGTTGTTTGTTTATGGTTGTTTTTATTGTGTTGAGTAAAATCGATGTACAAGCTGCTGGACTGTGGTAAAAACTCCGAATAAAATCAAAATTAAAATAGAAAAAATATTTTACATTTCTGACATCATTGGTCAACCCCGTCAAACACCACGCACAACTTTCCGAAGGGCATTCTTCAAAAACATTAACAAGAGTGAGAAGCTCGATTATCAAGTCCCGTTCCGGATCATAACAAGTAAGTGTGAGTAGGATGAACGGAATATGGAACCAAAAAGGGGAGAAACAGAAACTAGCATCTCCGCTAGGAGACAGACAGAGAAAGTCGATTAAGGCTGTGAACCATTTGCCGAGTTAAATTTAACTCGTGGTTAAAAGTGACATTTCGAAAGTTATTTTCTATGTTCGAAAATCCCCGTGCTGTCGATCGACCGGTTTTCGAGAAGAACTTAGTCTAAGTTGCCAAAATTTAACTTCTTATCTGTCAGAAGTAACCTTTAGCAGCAGGAACACGTTCGTTGCATTCTCCAGTGTATCCGTCTTCAAATCCACCGGTGTGAGCAACTTAAACGCTTCGTCCCGTTTTTTTCTCGTCTAGTTGGGAAATGTCCTTGGCCATCTCAAACCGTGCATCAACGTTGATCTCGGCAGCCAATTCAGATCCCCGATCGATGACCAACGATCACGCTTTCGTCAATTTAGTTGCTAGCAATCTTGCCATCCCAAATTTTGTAGAACAGAATCGCACAAACGGCATCGATAACGTGAGCCCGTTTCAGCTATTGCAACATAACCAGCAGCCGATCGAGAGCCAGTTTGTCCGGTATCAGCTTGTCCAGGGGAGATCTTCTGGTTTTGTTCGGATTCCACTACTTGTTGTGTTGTTTTGTCAAAAGAAAACATTTGAACCGGGTTACCAAACATTTATTTTTTCACAAACAAACCATGTCAGTCTGATGACTGGCACTCTCGGCACACGTTAGGTACACTTAGAAAAAATTTGGCACAAAATAAGTGTGTAGAGTTACGACCACCTCTTGGTATTAGTATTTTTATCATTACCGAAATCCAGTTAAATAGACACATGTCAGAGCATTTGCTGATAATCAGTAAGCCGAGTGTACCTTCTCGAAGGAATTTCTTCTACCTTCTCGGAGGAATTTCTTCTACCCTCTCGGAGGAATGTCTTGTATCTTCTCGGAGGAATTTCTTCCCCCTCTCGGAGGAATTTCTTCTACCCTCTTGGAGGAATTGCTTCTACCCTCTCGGATGAATTTCTTCTCCCCTCTCGGAGGAATGTCTTCTACCTTTTCGGAGAAATTTCTTCTACCTTCTCGGAGGATTGTCTTCTACCTTATCGAAGGAATTTCTTCTCTTCTCTCGGAGGAATTTCTTCTACCCTCTCGTAGGAATGTCTGCTACCTGCTCGGAAGATTGTCTTCTACCTTCTCGAAGGAATTTCTTCTACCCTCTCGGAGGATTGTCTTCTACCTAATTAAAGGAATTTCTTCTCTTCTCTCGGAGGATTGTCTTCTACCTTCTCGGAGGATTGTCTTCTACCTTCTCGAAGGAATTTCTTCTACCCTCTCGGAGGAATATCTTCTATCTTTTTGGAGGAATTTCTTCTCCCCTCTTGGAGGAATTTCTTCTACCTTCTCGGAGGAATGTCTTCTATCTTCTCGGAGGAATTTCTTCTACCTTCTCGGAGGATTGTCTTCTACACTCTCGGAGGAATTTCTTTTACCCTCTCGGAGGAATTTCTTCTCGCCTCTCGGAGGATTGTCTTCTACCTTCTCGGAGAAATTTCTTCTACCCTGTCGGAGGAATTTCATCTACCCTCAGGGGAATTTCAACTGCCCTCACAGGGAGCGCCAGTAGCACCCTCGCAAGAAAGAGGACGGTTCTCTCTTACCGAGTTGCGCCATTGTCGTGACTGGACCGAGGTTTCCAGCCTCAGTCACGGTTCCACGAATCTGCTGTTCCCTTTGTTGGTCCGCTAGTGCAGCTATCCCTTCTGCTGGTGGTCCTTTGCTGGTCGTTCGCTCTCTCCACAGTCCGTCATAAGAATGCCGTCAACGAGCTTAGGTACCTCTTATTTATTCCTCTAGCTGTATCAAAATTCCCGAACCAATCAGATTTTGTTTACATACGGTCTATCACGCTTCACGCTCACTCGATTCTACTCATTTCTATTCCACATTAACTCTTTCTTCAAGTTACACCGAGCTTCCTGTCAACTTAAATGACAGAGGCAAAACCTGTCTACGCTTTCTGACAACAAATGTTAACACGTCCTCGGCGTTTTGTCGTTGCCACGATTCCGGGCACGGTGTGTATTTTTTTGTAATTATGCAGTTATAGCAACAATCAATTCGAAACTAACGATTTTAAATTGGCTCACTACTTGACTAGCCTATTGGTCCCAAGCAAACGATTAACGTACCCTATTCTACTCGAAATTCTAGTACTACACAATGTTTGTTTTGATTCGCTATGAAAGTTTGACAGATAAAATGAGGGGTTAGTGGATTTTCCTATGTTTCGAGGGGTGAATCGATTAGCTTGGGACCGAAGATAGTACCAGAGCTGAGCCAAAAAGTTGAGCACGTTTCTTCGGGACCTTCTAGTCTTGTTCGGGAACAAAGTGATCATTGAAATTTCAATCATATCCAAGCGTAGACCGCATTCTGATCCGCTCATCTTCTCCTTTCCAGCATGACCGACTCGTACATCAACGACTCGTCGGACAACGAATCGAAGAACAGCTGTGCCAAATCGAAGCTGGAAATGGCGGAAACCCTGCTGGCCGACCTGAACCTCCTGAACGGTGGTGGTGGCGGTGGTGGTGGGGGTGGCTTGATGATGGCCGGTCATGGCAACAACAACAACAACAACAATAATGGCAGCACCAGTACGGCGTCGGGCAATGGAGGCGGAGGAGGAGGAGGAGGAGGAGGAGGAGGAGGAGGGGGCGGTGGAGGTGGATACAATGGCACCACAACCAGTGCAACCAGTGGCATCAATCAGAGCACCAATAGCAATAATCTGGTGGTGGTTCTGCTCAAGGAGATTAGCAAGTTGCACGAAACGAATAAGAAAATCTGCCGAAATTTGCATGAAACCAAAGGTAGGTCCCGTAGTGTGAAGATTTGTAAACTGTTTCTTGACTCCGCCATGGGAGAGTGCGTGATCACTGAACTGTGTGCGTGCGTGTGATTCTGTTCTATTGCGAAAGCATGCTTGCGTTCTGCTTGTTATTCTTTTTTTTCTTTATCTAATTTGGTTATACATATTTATGATTTCTTACTGCCTATATTCATTGCTCTAGTCTATAAGATGAATACGTGAGAGTAGCTAATTGTTTGATTTCTTTCTTTCTTGTCATGCACCACCTCCGATGCCTACCAATTTTCCCACGCCCTATCCCACCGTTTATCCATTTTTCCAACGTTCTCTGTACCCGGACCCATCTGTTCACCTCTTCTAGTGGAGATGGAAGCTTTGAAGCATTCTTCGCACTGGGGCCTTAGCCAACGTAGAGACAGTATAAGCGGTATGAGCACCAATAGTCAGCCAGTAGGAATGCGTTACAATAGCTTCGGACTGCAGAGTCCTGCACCGACGTATCACTCGCAAGGTATTTCATCTAGTGTATAAGTCTACATAGGGCACCTAGTTGGCAAATTTGAACTTAAATGTATCTTTGGACAGTGTGTTTAGATAGGCGATCTAATTTGGGATTTGGATGTTTCAGGTAGCTACAGCCCCGGAATGGTGGCGGATGTGATTCGGGAGATCCGTGAGGTATCACGTGTCCGCGAGGAAGCCATGATGGATCGCATGAAAACGATGATCGAGGAGCGGTCGTGGGCCATGAACGAGGCCAACTTTCGGCTGCTCAAGGAATCGGAAGACATGAAAAAGAGCATGCACATGGTGCGGTCCGAGATGAACCAGATGGTCGATCGGATGCTGAAACTCGAGAACGAAGTCATCAATCTACGGGCTCAGCTGAATAGTCACCAGCATCAGCAGCAGCAGCATCATCAGCACCATCTGCGGGAGCGGGACTCCTATGCAGGTTCGTCGTCGTCCACGGCTGGTCAGGCGGCAAAGTTGAGGAGAAACAGTATGCATTTAAACTACGGAAGAATAAGCAATACGGACGAGTTCTACGGCGGCAATAACTTCAATGACCTGAGTAACGAACTACGATTCAGCAACGGCGGTGGCGGTAGTAACAATATGCGCGGCAAGATCGGTGAGAATAGCTTTGTCGGCCAGACGTTAAATGGAGGTGGTGGTTTCGGGGAGGAAATGCATGATGATTCCTCCAACGATCAGGTGTTGTTGTTGGAGAAGGATGCGTTGATGCTGAGGCGAGAGCTACAGGATGCTTTGGCCTCGAAGCAGGAGTCGGAAAACCGGATTACAGCGTAAGATTAACCCCATTGTAGTTGTGTGTGTGTGTGTCTGTTCATAGATCCTAGTCAGTATTTACTAACATGAGACTATCTCTCTCTCTCTCCGTTTCTTCATTCCATTCACTTCCTATCGCGTGATCATTCGAAATTCTTCCGATCCATTCAACCCAAATACCGATTTGAAACATCCCCCGATTCAGTTTGGAAAATATTGTAAGCACTCTCAAAGAACAGGTTCCGTCAGCCGTCACAATGCCGCAGCACCATCCCGGATACGGCATTCAATCGCGGACGACAGTGACGACGCCGACGCCGACGACGACTGCGAGCCCAGTTGGAATGGGGGTGGTGGCTAGTAGCCACCACCAGCAGCAGTACCAACAGCAACAGCAACAGTACTACTTCCGAACCATCAACAACGTTTCGCCAAGCCCTCAGCTGACTCATCCTCCGGCCGCACCGATATCACCCGCCAAGCTACAGAAGGCAGCGCAGATCCAGAGCATCCCACCGTCGTCCGGCAAGCAGTACATGCATCTGCCGTCCAGTGCGATTAACGTGTCCGGACCGGTTACGGATTTGTAAGGTCGGTAAAGGTATGCTTGGAAGGGTTTTTTTTTACCATGGAAGTTCTGGAAGTTCGAGGGGATCGTCTCTAGCCGGGGTGTGGCATCATGTTTTATGAACGTTTGAGGTACTGGGATGGGATGAGTTTATCGTTGTCCTCTAGTTGGTAACATTGGGCAGCAGAAGATCGGTTTTCACAAACTTACTCGAACTGTTGAAGCTGTGTAGATTGGGAAATGAATCTTCATTGGCTCGGGAGGCACGGAACAAATTTGGTAACGGATCGGGGATCTGAGAGGATGAGCTTCTGTGTAATTTTCCAATGATCTATGTACTCTACTAGCAGAGTTGTGGGGTTCCACCTATCCGGAGAAAAGCCTGATACAATCAGGCCTTTCTCCGGATACGTGGAACCCCACAAGGGCCATATTCCCGGTCGTCTAGTTGGGTTGGAATGCGAGCTAACTTTTTACGAGAGGGAGGTTCACCTGGTTTCCGTCGTTGCTATCCGCATCCATATCACCGAGCTAGCTGTTGCCGGGCCCGCTGAGTTTCACTGATGTAACCTTTCCGTACGTCGTGGACATGGATCAATGTTGCCAAAACATCCAGATGGCTACGTCGCTAACTCGCGTAATTCCGCGTTTTTATTTAGCACACCGCTTTTTTTTCTTGAAGACTTTTTATAAAAGCACTTTGAAATAATTCAACCGTTTATTATTCACTAAGCCTTTTTACATTTAACCGAACATTTAACACGAGCACTGCACTGTTCGAACCGGACACTTCAAAAACTAAACTAAAACTGACTGATTAGTTTGGAATATAAATTGTTCCTACCGATCGATGGTCGATTAGCTGCTGGGTCAGGAGTCCACGTCCGTTGCCCTTCGCTCTGCATCGTCGTCGTCAGCGGTGCAGTCATGATGTCATGATGGGTCAGGAGAACTGGGTGCGGCCAGGCGTCTTGTTGAGTCAGGGGAACCGCGTCCGTTCTGCTGTTGGCTCGATGGTTGGTGTGTTGCTAACTGGTCGATGTTGCTACCAGCTGTATTGATGATTCTGCATCTATGCCATGATCGGATGATCATAGGTAGAGCATGCGTTTGTACTTAACTTCCCCCTTCTTAGATTGAACCGTCCCGGTTCAACTTACTGCGATGAGTTGGGTTGTTGAATTCGCATGAAATTTCTAATCCTCCATATTTCTCTGATAAGGTATGAGAAAATGGCTGTAGCTAAGGTGGCCATAATGACAATACTTCCTATATTTACCAGGCTGTCTTTTTGGTTGATGATTTCTAGATGGTTTATCCTGTGACGGTTGTTTGCTTGTAGGCCATGTAGCTCCTCTATCGGTTCCACGATGACATCTGTCTTATTAACGGTGACGGAGTGTAACGGAAGAATGTCGGGTTTTAGATCGTTACGAAGAACGTTCCAGTCAGATTCTTTGGTCCATATCCACGTGTGTTTTGAAGATGTACTGGGATCATAGCGTTCTTCACCAAGTTGCCGTTGTATTCGATGATTTTAGGCTCTGATGAACTTGGGTCACTGATGAACACGCATCTGCTTGGATTACCACGAAGTAGCTGGTGGTAACATTGGTTACTGGTTACGTTGTCCAGATTTTCGATGTTGCATAGAAAGTATTTTCGATTTGATTGCATTTTTCATCTGATAGGAATGATTCGTTCTTGCTAATTATAGCAAATTTGCTGTTGATCTTAATTGTCTTTCGATCAACTGGTATGGGTTCGATTCGAAGTAATTGGTAACTGTCATTCCTCTGCCTTGGTATTTTGATTAAGAAATTCATACGTTTGATCGTAGCTGGTGATCAAATTCCCTGCGATCTCAACATTTGGGTTGCCAACTCTAATTCGGCGGGATACAACAGTGTCGTTGAAATTACTCCAAGTCGGGATAGTTGAATAGCTTCGAATATGGTGTCCAATTGGTAGCCAATGGTGTCCAGGTTGAAGATGATGCTGTGCAGGTGCAGCATGTGTTGCCAATCGACTGATATGTCTAAATTGAATCTTGCTTGTTTGATAAATCTGCTAACATCTACTAATTGCCTGTTTGGCATTTTAACATTTGATGCCTACAAATGCACGTGCACTTTGCTTTCTCCACTCGACGTGAAGCCTGGCTGCAGGGATCCAGCAGGGTCGCAGAGAAAGAACTTTTTATATGTTAAAAAATGAAATAGCCATCTGGAACAGGGATAAAATGGATATCATCAGTTTCAAACAGAGCGAACAACACGTTTGGATTATGAGCATATTCAGTGGACTTTCGACAGTAACAGGAAGAGGAAATTAGTACTTAAAATTCGTTTACCCAACCAAAAGAGAGTTCAACAAAAACCACAGGAATCACAACATACAGCTATTATGACCAGCGAATCCAAACACATAAAGCAACCAACGATACAGACAAAACGGTTGCTACGACTACCATGACAAACTCGCTCTATAACATAGCTCGATCCGAGTGGTAAAAGGATAATGATATATTGCTTGCCTACTTTGTTGCAATATACGCGGATGAGGACATAGCTTGATATGAATCGAGAAAAGACAAAACAAAAAAATTCCCATTAACACACGTGTATCATCTTCGGCTCTACTTCGTGAAGCAGTTTGCCAACAATTTGCTCATTTCCTTCTACCGCCCTGAGTGAATTGTGTCGCACGGGCTGCTTGTCATGAAAAAAAAACGAAGAAGATTATACGACGGATACAGAATACGGAGTCAGCATATGGAATGGTTAGCTTATTGACCCTTCAGACGGTTAACTATACAACTGTAACTCACTATCACTACCCATATGACAACTTCTTCAATTTGGCTTCTCATTATTAACGTTTAGCACATTCTATTTTTCTTCCGGCGGGTATTTTTCTCTACTCACTTCCCGCACTTTGGGCTGACCGGTTCGGTTGCAGTTAAACTATGCTGTTCTTCACACTGCTCACATTATCCACCCGAGCGGCTTGTGTTTTCATACGCTCATAATTTGTTAGGAGTTTGTACACTAGGTACACGACACCAGCTATTACTACCGCGATTAATACGTACGCGATTACTTCAATTGACTCTGCGGTTTTTTCACTATGTTCGGTAGACTTTGCATTACTGGCATTAATAATGCCGACTATTTGTTCGTGTGTCACTTGAGGTGTTCCGGTTTTGGGTTTGGATTCTTCCGATCCCATTTTTAAACTCGTTTCTTTCTTGAACTTAGAACTCAGCACTTAGACTTTTCTTTGAACTTAGAACTCAGTAGTTAGACACTTTTTCCAGTTCGGTTTGTTCTGTTCTTGATAAAATTATTCACAAGTCACAAGTTCTTCCTACTGTCACGGTCTGCCATGTGGCATACGGACTTCGGATTATTCAAGATGCTTTTCGGTTGACATGTACGAATAGACTCTTTATTCAATTTGCAGGTTCGGATCAGGAAGGTTCTTATTTGGTATTTGGATAGGCCGAAAGAATGTAAACTATAAACCTTAAAAAAAAGCGAAGCGGCGTGGTAGGTTTATTGCCAAAACATTTGCTGTGCATATGCGCAAGACTTATTGCGCGCATATCGTAGCAGTTAAAGTAGGTTGGTAAACAAGGAAAAGGAAAAGGTTTTACTGTTTCGAAGTTGACTGAGCAGTTTCTCAGTAGGTCATGAATTTTGGCAGTTTCTATCTATGTTAAAACAGTGGGATAAGGAAATGGAAATGTTTCCTTTATTATGGTGATTTATGAAAAGATCTGTGTGGTAATTTGAGATGTATCATATTACAACATCGTAACACGACAGATTCGATGAGTAGTATTTCTTTAAGTGAAAGAATTTTGTTGTTTGGAAGAGAGATTTTGGTTCGTAAAATTGTATCCTGAATTTCTTCTAAAACGTTGTTTATCGTGTCCATGTATAGTAGCAGAGTTATTGTGTCGTATTCCTTTAGCAGAATTTTGTTTTCCATATTTTGCTGACCGATTAAATTATTGACTGCTTGTGTTATGTCATTGATCCTTTCGTTTACCATTTTGTTGATGATGAATTGTTGGCTGTTTTGTTGGATTAGTTCGTTGATTGTTGTGTTAAAGAGTCGAAGATCGTCCGCATCCGGGGTCCCTGCGAGCCAATTCCACGCCGTTCCAATGGTGTCCCAGTGCAGTGCCGCATCCTTCTAGATTTTTCTATTGCTAATTGGGCTCTGGGTAATGTGCTATCCAACTGTCTAGTTATTTTAGTTATCAACAAAACATTACTTTCGATTGATAATACAGGCTGGACTCGATTATCCGTAGGCTCGATTAACCGGAGGCTCGATTATCCGGGGCTCGATTATCCGGAGAAAATGGCTCGATTATCCGGAGTCATATTTTTATTTACCTATCTTGCAAATTATTTTTCATAAACCGCTTGGAAAACCGTCTTTCGATCCGAGGACGAGTAACATTCATCGTTCGACTCAGTCTGACAAGATCGGGAAATGATTATATTTTTAAGTGTTTGTGTGCCTTTGTTACAAAATCCGGCGTAAAGGCGTTTTGGATTAACTTTGACCTGAAAGGAATCAAACATATCATGTGCCACAATAACATACAAAAACTGAATCCCATGATGGTCCGTTCACTAATAACGTCACGTATCAGGGAGGGGGGGGGGGTCATGGAGAATGGCAACCGAACAAATTTTTTGAAGATCGGTAAAAATTTCCAAAGGGCCTTTAACCCTCCGTTACTCGCGCTGTTGTACTTTGTACAACACACATGAGTTTTCCATTGCCATTTTGTTGCTGAGTTACCAATAGATCTGAAACCAACGAGTATTCCTCAAAAAACTTGTTTTGATCTAAACAAGCTAAACTTTGATTACAGTAAACACCTAAAAAATGCGGATAATAGGGAAAATGTAAATAGAAACCGCGAAAACTGTGACCATACTACGTGGGATTTGACTTAATTGATTACAACATGGAATATATCAAGATTCTGACGAGATAGAAAGTTACTGTCAGGAGATCATAACCTTGTTGATGGCGGACAGTAGTTCAGAATTTTCTCACTACATAGCGCTTGTATACATGTGAAATTCTCGCATGTGATATATCTCGAGATCCTGACCAGATAAAAAGTTACTGTCTTTCACAAAGTTTTCAGGAGATCAAAGCCTATTGCTTGGTGCTCAATAGTTCAGAATTTGCTCACTACGCGACGCTAGTAAACACGTGAAAGTGAGAAAACGCTGAACTACTGTCCACCAACGAAAAGGCCTTGACCTTCTGAACAACTTTGTCGACGACAGTAATTTTCTATCTGGTCATGATCTCGA